ATAGAATGGATAGAATACAGTCCCATCTCATAGAAATAGTCCCATCTCATAGAATGGACAGAATACAAGTCCCATCTCATAGAATGGATAGAATACAGTCCCATCTCATAGAATGGATAGAATACAAGTACAGTCCCCCATCTCATAGAATGGATAGAATACAGTCCCATCTCATAGAATGGATAGAATACAGTCCCATCTCATGGATAGAATACAGTCCCATCTCATAGAATGGATAGAATACAGTCCCATCTCATAGAATGGATAGCATACAGTCCCATCTCATAGAATGGATAGAATACAGTCCCATCTCATAGAATGGATAGAACACAGTCCCATCTCATAGAATGGATAGAATACAGTCCCATCTCATAGAATGGATAGACACAGTCCCATCTCATAGAATGGATAGAATACAGTCCCATCTCATAGAATGGATAGAATACAGTCCCATCTCATAGAATGGATAGAATACAGTCCCATCTCATAGAATGGATAGAAATACAGTCCCATCTCATAGAATGGATAGAATACAGTCCCATCTCATAGAATGGATAGAACACAGTCCCATCTCATAGAATGGATAGAATACAGTCCCATCTCATAGAATGGATAGCACACAGTCCCATCTCATAGAATGGATAGAACTACAGTCCCATCTCATAGAATGGATAGAACACAGTCCCATCTCATAGAATGGATAGAATACAGTCCCATCTCATAGAATGGATAGAATACAGTCCCATCTCATAGAATGGATAGAATACAGTCCCATCTCATAGAATGGATAGAATACAGTCCCATCTCATAGAATGGATAGAATACAGTCCCATCTCATAGAATGGATAGAATACAGTCCCATCTCATAGAATGGATAGAATACAGTCCCATCTCATAGAATGGATAGACTACAGTCCCATCTCATAGAATGGATAGAATACAGTCCCATCTCATAGAATGGATAGAATACAGTCCCATCTCATAGAATGGATAGAATACAGTCCCATCTCATAGAATGGATAGAATACAGTCCCATCTCATAGAATGGATAGAATACAGTCCCATCTCATAGAATGGATAGATACAAGTCCCATCTCATAGAATGGATAGAATACAGTCCCATCTCATAGAATGGATAGAATACAGTCCCATCTCATAGAATGGATAGAATACAGTCCCATCTCATAGAATTGATAGAATACAGTCCCATCTCATAGAATGGATAGAATACAGTCCCATCTCATAGAATGGATAGAATACAAGTCCCATCTCATAGAATGGATAGAATGCAGTCCCATCTCATAGAATGGATAGAATACAGTCCCATCTCATAGAATGGATAGAATACAAGTCCCATCTGCCTCCGCAGCAGAGGGACTCATAGTTCTCCATGGGGCACAAGTGTGGTGACGTCACCGCGCTTGCAGCTCATCGAAACTCCGTCAAGCTCTGTAACCTTAGGTCCACACCTCCATACAGAGCTGGGACTGGAGGAAGATCCTGCAGCAGCCTGAGCATTGCACCCACAATCAACTGAAGATTGCAACAAAATTAACAAATGCACATTTTTCTTTTTTCAATATCGCTGCATTTATTACTTTTTTTAAAAAAAAAGTGGAATATGCCTTTAGGGCTGAAGTTTAGATATTTATTATTCTATTATAGGTACTTATATAGCGCCATCAATTTATGCAGCGCTTTACATATATATATATTGTACATTCACATCAGTCCCCGCCCCCGAGGAGCGTACAATCTAAGGTCCCTAACTCACATTCATACATACACATACTAGGGACAATTTAGACAGGAGCCAATTAACCTCCCAGCATGTCTTTGGAGTGTGGGAGGAAACCGGAGTACCTGGAGGAAGCCCACACAGGCAAAGGGATACCATGCAAACTCAAGGCAGGTGGTGCTGTGGTTGGGATTTGAACCAATGACCCCAATACTGCCAGGTGGAAGCGCTAACCATTTAGCTGCTGTGGTGCAAAGATATAGCTTTGCATAGATACATTGATCCAGCTTAGGACAATGTGAGTATGTACAGTGTGTACCATACCTGGGGGCAGGGCTGCTGTTAGAAGTCACAATCACCTACCTAACAGGGCTCCCCTGTGTGATGAATGTACAAAATACCGATCAATACCAATCGCTCACTGTGTTCATCCAAGAAAAGAAAGAGGCCAGTAAATATGACATATTTAACACCTCCCTTTCCCCCCCAACTCTCCATCCTGAATTGACCCTCCTGTGTGCCCTCAGGGAGGGAGAGGAGGGAAGCCGGTAGTGATTTGGGGGGTAAGGGCACACTGGTGGGGCCCGGACAGCTAGTGGAAGGGGGGGGCATGGACAGCAGGGGGATGGGGGTGATCAAAGCGATGGGAGGATGGGGGCGCTGATACTAAAAACCGATTCTTCGGCAGCACAGCCGGAGGGAGGGAGAGGAGGGAAGCCGGTAGTGCTACGGGGGGAAGGGGCACATGGGGGGGGCCCAGACAGTTAGTGGAAGGGGGGCATGGACAGCAGGGGGATGGGGGTGATCAAAGCGATGGGAGGATGGGGGCGCTGATACTAAAACCGATTCTTTGGTAGCACAGCCAGAGGGAGGGAGAGGAGGAGAAGCCAGCAACTCTGCAGGGAAAGCCACAAGATCAGCAATAAGGCAGTAGAACTGGTTCTCCTGCTCGGCAGGTCTCCTGGCGCTGGGCCCTCCATTTTGGGGCCCAGACCCAGTACTGGAGGGCTGGCTGTACTGCCTTATCAGCAGCTCTGTCTGTGGAAGATGAATATGGCTGAAGGTGGCACCACTATTACACCACCAGCTTCTGGTTCCTGTGCCAAATGACTGCCCTGCTGCATTGGGAACACACAAGGTTTCTTGCTCAGCACCTCCACCATTCACAGAATGCCCTGCAATTTTTTAAATGAATGCAAGGCATTCTCTGATTGGAGAAAATGGAGATCCTCACCGCCCCACTTCTCCACCTCGTCCAATCAGAGAATGCTTTGAATTCAGTGAGAAAACGCAAAGTGTTCTCAGCACAGTGCCCATGCCAAGCAAGTGACCTCCTGTGTTCACTATTCAGCAGGACAGCCAACTGGCACGGAACCCGGAAGCTAGCAGCAATCAGTATAGTAACAGTGCCCATTACAGTGATTTCCAGCTTCCATTGGGGATTGGCCAGGCATGGCCATCACAGACTTACATTGGTCCAAGCTGAATCAGTGTAACTATGCATACCTATACCCATAGCCATACCTATCCAGGCCAACAGTTAAATACACAGAAGAAATACTGTACATACTGTATGAGGGATTTTTTTTTTTTTTTACTTGTCAAAGGATTTGTATTTCTGCAGCTACAGGACAGTCAACAACTGGAAGTGCGCACAGGTTTCCACATTTCTCTATGAAGGTGCAACACCTCTTTAAGGCCCTGGGAATTTTTTGAAAAAGCACCTGGAAGGCGAGAGCGAAGGAGGTCAATAAATACAGCTTCCTAACACCTGTGTGGTGGTACAAAGAGAGCGATTATCAGCACAACACAACTGAAATAACAGTATTATCAGACATTCACCGGCTTCCTGACATAAACCTGTCAAACCTGGCCAATGAACATATGGATCAGCCAGTCTCAACCAGAGTCCTGTAGAATCCTTGGGTTCCTCAAGAGCAAACATTCTCAACTGCAGTTCCGTGGATCCCAAAGGTTCCTCCAGAGGTTGTTAAGGGTTCCCTGAGCTGTGGAAAATGACCTCCTATCTGATGATGTCTTCGGAGTTCTGGGTCAGAAGCAATTGAGTACTGACGTGATACTTTTTTTATTTGCACTAACATACAATTTTGAGGACAAGCTTTCGGGGTATGTCCCCTTCTTCAAGGTCCAGGCAGTACCTAGGTAGTAGTACTGCCTGGACCTTGAAGAAGGGGACATACCCCGAAAGCTTGTCCTCAAAATTGTATGTTAGTGCAAATAAAAAAAGTATCACGTCAGTACTCTCAATTGTTTCTGTCGCAAATGCACTACTATGGCTACAATCACCTCAAGCAAAATGGAGTTCAGGGTCCAAGCCCAGCAGCATGAATCTAATGACCTTTTTACCTGTTTGTAAAGGTGGCATTCTGACCACCACTTTAAGGGGGACATTTTTTCCACTGACTACCAATATAAGGGGCATTCTTCACATTCGCCCCTGAAGAATTCATTTTAGAAGGGAATCCCTGAGACCTGAAAATTATTCCAAGGGTTCCTTCGGGGTAAAATACTTTAGAAAGACTGCTCTAGAGGTTAATGGGGGTTTCTTGAGCTGTGAAGGATTGACTGTCCATTTGATGGTGCCTGGACCAACACCACTTGGACATGCCAGCTGCATGACACCAATGATCTTTGGGTCTGAAGGTCATTTAAGCTATTGAAAAGGGGGCATTCTTCCCAATGGCCACCAATGCAAGGCATTCTTTCCAAAGGTTACCAATGTCAGGGGCATTCTTCCCAATGGCCACCAATGTAAGGAGCATTTTTCCCAATGGCTACCAATGTAAGGGACATTCTTCCCACTGATCCCCAATGTAAGGGACATTCTCCCACTGACCCCCCCAATGTAAGGGACATTCTTCCCACTGATCACCAATGTAAGGAGCATTCTTCCCAATGGCCACCAATTTAAAGAGCATTCTTCCCACTGACCCCCAATGTAAGGGACATTCTTCCCACTGACCCCCAATGTAAGGGACATTCTTCCCACTGATCACCAATGTAAGGGACATTCTTCCCACTGGACCCCCAATTTAAGGGACATTCTTCCCACTGATCACCAATGTAAGGGACATTCTTCCTACTGACCCCCAATGTAAGGGAGCATTCTTCCCACTGATCCCCAATGTAAGGGACATTCTTCCCACTGACCCCCAATGTAAGGGACATTCTTCCCATGACCACCAATGTAAGGGACATTCTTCCACTGATCACCAATGTAAGGGACATTCTTCCCACTGACCACCAATGTAAGGGACATTCTTCCCACTGACCCCCAATGTAAGGGACATTCTTCCCACTGACCTCCAATGTAAGGGACATTCTTCCCACTGACCTCCAATGTAAGGGACATTCTTCCCACTGACCTCCAATGTAAGGGACATTCTTCCCACTGACCCCCAATGTAAGGGACATTCTTCCCACTGATCACCAATGAATTGGACATTCTTCCCACTGACCCCCAATGTAAGGGACATTCTTCCCACTGATCACCAATGTATGGGACATTCTTCCCACTGACCCCCAATGTAAGGGACATTCTTCCCACTGACCCGCAATGTAAGGGACATTCTTCCCACTGACCCCCAATGTAAGGGACATTCTTCCCACTGACCCCCAATGTAAGGGACATTCTTCCCACTGACCCCCAATGTAAGGGACATTCTTCCCACTGACCCCCAATGTAAGGGACATTCTTCCCACTGACCCCCCAATGTAAGGGACATTCTTCCCACTGACCCCCAATGTAAGGGACATTCTTCCCACTGACCCCACTGACCAGTGTTCCTCTGGAGAAAAAAAGTCTGAGAAAAGCTGATCAAGATCTTGATCAGAGATTACTGATGGTAGAAACCAAATTTCAAAGTGGTCAGTAGTTCTTTTTTTGAAAGACAGAAATTGCCACACTGCTTTCTGCCTCCTGAGCCTCAGGTGCTTTGATTGGTGGCCAAAGTACTGGTGGAATAAAATGATTGAGAAAGGCTGCTCTAGAGGTTGCTAGGGGTTCCTTGATCTGTGGGTGATTTATCTCCCATTTGATGGTGCCTACATAGTTTCAGGACCAACACAACTTGGAACTGCCAGTTGCACGACACCAATGATTTTGGGTCTGAGGGTCTTTTTAGCTGTCTTTAAGGGGATTCTTCTTCCCAATGGCCGCCAGTGTAAGGGGGGGGGGGCATTTCCCACTGATCATCAACTAATTAGCTTTAGCAAGGGTTCTTCGAGACCTGAAAATTATTTTAAAGGTCCCTCTGGAGTAGAAAGCTTGAGAAAGGCTGATAAAGATCGTAATCTGAGATTACCATTGGTGGAAACCACATTTCAGAGATCAGTAGATTTTCATTCCAGGTCAGGGTTTGCTGCACTGCTTTCTGCCTCCTGAGCCGGATGGGCTCATTCACCATTGGGAGCTCCAAAGGTGGAAGATTTTATGGCCGACCTCAACATTTGTTGCATTTAAGAGTTGCCTATATTGCAGGATCATGTGACATGGAGATTCTATTGAAGGGAACTTCTGCTTATTCATGTTTTTCCTCATCAGATACGTTTTGGGTGACGGGTTTATTTTTATACCATACACTTACCATCTGTTTGATTTATTGTTGTCTTTTACTGTGTAAACATGACAATTTTTCATTGTTCGTCTGAACAATTCATTATTTGGCCGTGATCATAAAGGGCCCATTCCCAGTAGACCTTTTTCCTGCAATAAAATGCATTTCAAGTGCAAATCCTATTGGTTGCTGCAGAACTAGTTCTTACCTATGTGCTGCAGCTCAGTGCCGTGTGCCTGGACCCGTCATCACCGGAGATGGTAGGTCCGTGTCATAGTCTGCATGTACCTACATACCTACAGATTACAACAAAAGGGAAAGTGTCCGCCCCCAACTTCTTCCCAACAGCAGCACAAGGTAAGGGGGTGCACTGTGATGTAAGAGAGGGTGGGGGGAACTCTTGACTTCTGATGGTAGGGGGGGGGGGGGCTGTTGATTTCTGATGTAAGGGGGGGGGAATACAACTGGCCCTTTGAGGGCAACCATAATGCTGATGCGGCCCAAAATGAAATTGAGTTTGACACCCACGATATAGAAGGTACTGGTGACGTAGCCTTCCCAGGGGGCACCTTGCTATGTAAAGAAAATGAAAATTCTGCTCCGTGTCTTCGCTAAAATAAAAATCCCAATGCGTGGAAATAATTGCTTTACGTGAAAGTTATAGCCAGGGGCGGACTGACCATTTGGAAACTCGGGCACTGCCCGAGGGCTCGGGGTCAGTAGGGGGCCCCATGAGATGCCCCTGGTACCTTTTTCATAGGCTTTTTTGAGTTTGGGCAAGGACACAGGGGCCCCATGATCCCCTATTGCCCGGGGGCCCCATGAGTTGTTAGTCCGCCCCTGGTTATAGCGTCTACAATTGGCAGTATAGATACTGGAATTTTTTTTTTTTACTAGTAATGGCGACAATCAGAGACTTATAGCAGGACTGCGGCGGGCATTCTGACACTGGGGGGGAACTGACTTGGTGTCACTGACATTTTCAGTGACACCAATACAATGATCAGTGCACTGACACTGTACTAATGACACTGGGCAGGAAGGGGTTAACATCTGGGGGGATCAAAGGGTTAACTGTGTGCTGGGTGTGTTTTACTAGGGGGCGGGGTCTGTGCTTTCCACTGTAAGGCTGACCAAACACTATACAACTTTCTTACAATTTTCTGCCCAATTTCCTTTAGATTTACCTTCAAATATGTAGCGCAATGGGCTGCCTAATTGGATACAATTGAAAGTGTTGTTTAGGTTTGACTTCCTATTATATGGTTTTTGGTAAATCTAAAGCAATATTCTCAAGAAAATTGTATAATGTGTGGCCAGCCTAAGCACACTGCTTTGCATGGCTGTGCTATGCAGAGCCATACAAAGCAGTGCACAGGAGCTGACAGGTGATACATACAGTTACATCAGTGTTGTCCCGAGGCAGGTGCAGGGAGTGCGGCTCGCACTGGGTGACACCGATCGCATGGGGTGACACCGGACCTGCTCCAGGAAAAGGTAAGTTGTAAAGCAAGCCGACGATCCCCGCAGGATGGATCGGATCCACCCTGCGGGGATCGTCGGCTTTCTTTACAACTTACATTTTCTTGGAGTGGGTCTGGTGTCACCCCGTATAGGTTGCATGCCGGCGATCCCCGCATCCGGTGGGATCCATTATCTTCCCCAATCCGCAGATCCCATCCATCCTGTGGGGATCGTCGGCTTTCTTTACAACTTACCTCTTCTTGGAGCGGGTCCGGTGTCACCCCGTTGGTTGCATGCCAGCGATCCACGCATCCTGCGGGGATCCATTATTCTCCCCAATCCACAGATCCCATCTATCCTGCGGGGATCGTCGGCATGCAACCTATACGGGGTGACACCAGACCCACTCCAAGAAGAGGTAAGTTGTAAAGCAAGCCGACGATCCCCGCAGGATGGATCGGATCTGCGGATTGAGCATAATGGATCAGAGTCCGGTCCATTATGCTCAATCTGCAGATCCGATCCATCCTGCAGGTATCGTAGGAGGGGGTGTCACCAAGTGTTACCGCACCGGGTGACACCAACCCTAGGGACGCCTCTGAGTCACATACAGTTCTCCCCCTCCCCATCGGTAATACTTGGCAATCACCGGGTGCCGGCAAGTAATCACCAGCCGGGACTCGGTGATTGACAGCCGAGGCCGCAAATGGCGGCGCGGGTAGGGCTCACGCGCCCCCCACCTAAAGATGGAAAAACACGTATATTTACGTGATTTTGGAGCACCCCTGCCCCCCCGTAGCATTATTTCTGCTATAGGGCGGCGGTAAAGCGGTTAATGAAAGGGCCGCAGCTTTCCATCCAATTACCGCGTCGCCGCGTCATTTTTTTTAGCTATAAATAGCGGTAAAGCCTGCAGCCCGTTTTTTTTTTTTCGCCGTTCCAGGCAGCAAAGTCAGGCACAGCTAACAATGCGGCGAGTTTAATTCACCATATTAAATAAAGGGGTCTGAGAGAGACTGACAAGGGGAGATAATAGCCGAGAGAGAGCCGGATTGAGCAGGGAGGGGGGTGAGGTGAGATGTTTATGGAGGAGGCTGGGGGGGGGGGAGGCTGATGCCAGATGTGGCCCACTCAGACCCATCTGCGGCGTGCGATATCCGCTAACACCCGGCTGAGACTTCCCTCTTCTCACACTGAGCCCCTTATCTGCTCTGTGCATTCACACAGCCAAAGCTGCTGCACACTGAGCCAGGGACGGCCTGGAGAGCAAGCGGCGGGCAGGGCTGAGCGAGCAGCCTGGAGCTCCTTCCACACCTCCAGTCACTGCGAACTGCCACTGTATGAGCGCAAACCGTCCACGTGCGCGCCAATTTTCCCCTAACAATTATTTATTTATTTTTTTCTTTTAAATGTATTTATTTGTTATTTAATCACTTTTAACCCCCCCCCCCCCCGGGTCTAAATATTAACCGCTTTCCGACCGCCCTATAGCAGAACTACAGCTACAGGGCGGCCAAATCACGTAGGGTAGGGGCAGCGTGCGCGCGGGCCACCCTACCCGCGCCACCAGCTGACGATCACCGGTTGGGGACTTCCCTGAAAAAAACCGGCAGGCGGACCCCGATCGGAACGTCCGTGTGAAAGAGGCCTTGCTGGAAGGTCACCAGGATGAACATAAAGGAAAGAAAGCCTAAAAAGAAAGAAAACCAATGCAGCAAATAAATAAAAGCTGATCATTGTCAGGGGTAAATGGTTTGTCTCATCCCTGTATCTGCAAGAGAGTGTGTTCTGTTGAAAAAAACAAAACAAAAAAACAGCAGACTTACCGGCTGGATCACCAGCTAAAAATAAAAGAGAAGCTTAAAAAAGAAAAGGAATGCGGCCATCACATCTAAGCTGCAATCTAATCAATGCTGGCCTCTGGGATGAATACGGATTTCAGGTCTCTAATTGTGTCCCGGAGGTTTTGTTAAGCGTTGGGCTCCACGAATGTAGGACTTTCTGAGCTGCACGAGCTGCACGGCGATGAATGTCATTCACATCCCTCCTCTGACAGGTGGTCCCACACTACCAGGGGCAGACTGACAACTCATGGGGCCCCTGGGCAATAGGGGATCATGGGGCCCCTGTGTCCTTGCCCAAACTCAAAAAAGCCTATGAAAAAGGTACCAGGGGCATCTCATGGGACCCCCCTACTGACCCCGGGCCCTCAGGCAGTGCCCGAGTTTCCAAATGGTCAGTCCGCCCCTGCACACTACTGTACTCCACCTCTAACAGGCTGCTACTTGACCCGAAACTACGGGAGGTTCAGAGGAACAAGGAAGAGAGAAAGCATGGCCTGAAAAGAGTGAAAAGAATGGAACTTCTGCAAAAACAAACATTTATTATATTACAGCTTACCAACTCTTAGATGTGACGGCTGCATTCGTTTTATTTTTTTTTTTAGGCTTTCTTTCCTTTATTTTCATTTGGCGATCTTGATATGGAGATCTTCTTGTGTTCTCTCTAGCTCTGATGGGGGGGGGAGGCGCTTGGACCCCCAAAATGCGTTTCAATGGAGATCTTCTTGTGTTCTTTCTATCCCTGAAGAAGTTTGTTGTTTTTCAAAAGATCAAGCTCTCCAGCAGAATGTGTCAATTTACAGGGATGAGACAAACCACTGACCGCTGACAGGGGTGCTGACAATGATGAGCTTTGATTTATTGATTTAAAACCTTTATCCCGAAAGGAACAAAA